GGTGCGTCTCTTGATGCCGGGCCAACCTCAAGACGTTTATGGGTGGACGGCTTGATTAACCCTTTCACCACTGATTCGAGTACTTCAACCCTTCTGAAGTATATTTCCGAGGCATTAGAATTGATCTTCTTGCCTACACTGGAAAAAAACCACATTGGATCTAGAGTCCAGACTCTTGAAAACATTGACAAGAAAAAATACTCTTGATTCAATCAGATTTTTGGTTGAATCAGAACGAAATCCGCTTATATTAAGAGGCTTGGTTCTTGATTTAAGCTAGATTCTGATTGAATCAAGAGTACTTTTTCTTGTCGATGTTTTTAAGAGTCTGGACTCCAGATCCAATGTGTTTTTTTTTTTTTTTCTAGTGTATTTTACTGCATGGACGGCAGGGTAATCGAAATGAAATTTCATGCATTTTAATTTACTTTATTTTCTACTGAGTAAGCCGCTTTTTACCAAAAACGTTTAAAGGCCGAATATATGACTCACTGGAAAAAAAAAAAACACATTGGATCTAGAGTTCAGACTCTTGAAAACATTGACAAGAAAAAGGACTCTTGATTCAATCAGATTTAAGCTGAAATCAAAAGGAAATCCGCTCAAATTAAGAGGCTTGGTCCTTGATTTAAGCTTAAATCTGATTGAATAAAGAGTATTTTTTCTTGTCGATGTGTTTAAGAGTCTGGACTCTAGATCCAATATGTTTTTTTCCAGTGCTTGCAAAAATATAACCTAAAATCCGGCAATGAACTTCATAATGAACTTCATGATAATTTTTTTTTCTTTTTTTCCCCCTTTTTGTTTTGTCTTCAAAATTTTGATACATTACTATTTCTAGGTGTCCTATTTCCTGTTTGAAGAATACTATTTTTATCATCGGGATGTGGTTTAAGACAGCTCGTAGCCCATCTTATTGACTCTCTTAGAAGCTCTCGTTGGGCTCTTGTTAGACAATTTGCTCCTCTAGGGCAATTTTTTGAGCCGTATATACATAGAGAACCCTTGAATTTGTTAGGCATTTTTAACTTGATATATCATCTATATACATTTTTACAGTTTGTTTTGAAATTGTCATAATTATTATTTCTCCAACTCCACTCGGTGAGAACACGTCAACCTTGCGAATAAAGATGGCACCCTTTTTGGCGTAGGGCAAGGGATCTATTTCAATTTTTTCGCACTTAACAAGTGGAAGCAAATTAATAGTGGATGAGCAAACAGGAAGTAAATGTGTTGCGCAAAAGGAGAACCGGAAGTGAAACAACTGGTAAAACATGGAACGTTTCAAATTTAACATGTGCACTCGGAGATAGGATGGCTGCAAGAAGTACGGCATACGTATTGAGGGAACAGCGTTGCAGCGCGTAGTTATAGAAGATTTCGCTCCAATCCAGAGGGGGGAGGGAGGGGGATTTGAATTGCGGATTTTATCGTTTTATTTCACTGGTGTTTATTGTTTCCCTTGGGAGGGTTATCTCCACCCGGGTGCTTGAGTCATTGTGATAAAAGCTTGTAAGCTCATAGTTTGAACAATGCAAAAAGACATAAAACGAGAGACTATCTTTTATTATTTCCGAAAAATCCATGCCATGCACGCTGCACTAAAATGCAAATAAGAAGATTTTCCTAGACAAAATGACCCATACATATGAGAAGAAAATATCGAAGGTATCTCGGGTCATTGCACTATATTTTTGTCTGTCTCGCAAACCTTGGACCGAGTTTGGAAGGAAAGGCACGAAGCACATCGATACTTATAGAAATAACATTTTATGTTGCATTCTACACTCAAATCATGAAATTGTTTCAATTGCTCAGACAATCGTTCGATTTTTAAAGACTTGCCGAATTTTGTTCGTTTCTTTATGAGAGTTTCTCAGTGATCCAGCACTAACGTGAGAAGAAAGAACAAAGTAACAGTAAAACCAATTTATTTGAAATCTAACAATTCAATATTTTGATATCGTTTTTTTCCATCAGACTTTTAAGTAATCTCTATTTTATGGAAGCTTTTAGTATCTTTGAGATAAATGTCTACTTGAAATCAGAGCCAGTAATCTGAAAAAATGATCAATAACAAACCCTTAACAGAGCTTTATCTACTTATTTGAGAAATTTACTCCATGAAAATCAGGAAAGAGGGCCCGAGGGAGCCTCATCCCTCTCAGAGTCAAATCGATTGTATGTGGCTACTCAATACCATTTGGCCTCTAAAAATTTTAAAATATCCCATAAAGCTTTCCCTCGCCACCTTAAAAAATATTTTGGCCATGCCGTGCCGCCTCAAAAGATACGTGCTTACCATAAAGAAACTCCCTGCACCCATGGAGCCTGCATAATATTTGAATTCCATTGGTCGTGAAAAACATTATTAATTTTGACACGTTCGCGTCTTTAAAGACCGATACACATCTCATATTAGAAAGTTATCTTAATTAGCTCTATCAGCTTAAACCGCTCATTTATGATTCCATAGACGTTTTCATCCAAAAACTTTGCCGGTGAAGGGTTCGTAACTCCCCATTGCGTGTTTAATCCCTTTTGACCTATTTCATGTGCTTCAGAGTTTGCTTCCGCTATCAGGCCCGCCACAAGGGGGGGGATACTGGGTCCTTGGTACCGGGGCCCGGGCCCTGGAGGGGCCCATGACGCAGGTGACAAACCACTACGAATTCATGTGTAACCCTTGTCTCGTAGGGAAAAGTGAAAAAATTACCCTAAAAATTCCGCAAAAGGTGAATAAAGTTTCAAAAACACACTAGGGCACTATAAAATTTTTCTTACTTTTTTAGAGATTTTCAAGATTTTAAGTGTATGTAGAATGCTATTTTTAGTAACTGTGTTTCATTTTCTTCCGTTGTCGAATGCTAAGAGGCTCCTTTCTGGGCATCCTCGACTTCAATGGCTTAACTCCCTTGCCATAGACGTACGAAAGGGGAGTCCAGGGGGGCCCGGCTCCCCATAGAATTGAAAATTATCATCTGCCCCCTCAAAAAAAA